GCAAGAAACCAAGATGGCTGATGAGGAGCTGGTAGCCAACGCGCTGAAACGTTTTTTACTTACGTACGAGCTATGTGTTACCTATGCTGTCGGTCTTTCGGGAGGTTGTTTTTTGTTCTTGAGGAAGTCCTTGCCCTTGTCGGAGGTGAGCGTCACGACTTGTAAGGAAGAACGTTTCATTCTGTGCGATGTTTATTTTGCAAAAGTTCGCTGGCGGCTTATTTGCATATATACCTCCAGCACGGTGAAATACGGGCTTTCTTTTTTCTTTGGCTTGCAATATTTTGTAGAATGCGATAGGACCGTTGTGCTTGTAGTCTATCTTAACTGCGTCGTGAGAGCAGTAGATAGGTCGCCGTACCAGCGGCGAGCAGATAACAGTGTTCCCATTTTGAGCGACCCCCTTGAGGATTGTGCTTTGGTAGACGCCGGAGCTGTGAGAAACGAAATGTCAGGTTCGTTTCACATATTTCCAAGCCAACTTGCACGCGTGATTAGATCGAGTGTACGTGTCGGCTTCAGTAGCAACCATGTTGCAGAGGTAGCGGGTCACGCCTGTTTTGCATCTTGGACCAATGTTTGGTTTCACCAATTATAGGCGACAGGGCGCCACCGAACCTGTTTAACTGGAAACTTTGGAAACTCAACTTACAGCCACTGAGTGATGTAACATTCTTAGAAGCAGTAGACTGCATTTTTAAAAATTAGCGTGAACAATCGGGGGACGATGTTTTTGAGGCGTGGAAACACTTCCAACAAGAGTTTAAAATGACACCTGTGCAAAGGTCGTCAATTTTAGCATTTGAGGCTCGACGCGATGAAAGTAGCTTTAACGCTGACTTGGTTGTACTGTCGAGACCTGAGTATGCGAACCCTGGCGTTGGTCTTAAACATTAGGATGGAGTCAAGAAGCGCTTAGACGAGCTGCACCGTGAAGGTTACCGGGGTGGCGTAGTCCAAGCTCGCTCAGAAAAGTATTTGTTAGGAGAGCAACCGACGAGACGTGCCTTGGTTGATAAGAAGACGTACGCGCCACGTAACGGGATCAGGGAAATTGAGTACTGGGGGGTCAGCAGCCCCAGCCCAGGTATGATCGAAAAAGCTTTCGTCGAGCACTATCAGCATCTCTTCGATAACCAAGTCGAAGAAAGAACTCCGCGTGTGAGAAACTACTTGAGTCTCTCGGCTCGACCTAGTGGAGCAGGGAAGGATCGAGGAAACTATCACCATACAGGAGATAGAAAAGGCCATTGACGATCTGCCCAACTCAAAGACGCCGGGCGCAGAAGGTTTAGGGGCGAAGTTATTTTCTTTAAGTTTAAAAGTCACATTTTTGTTGCGAGTTCTTTCTGAAGCCTATAAGCGTAAAATGCTACCAGCTTAGTTCACACGAGAGCACACAGTTGTAATCCCCAAAAGTGAGGACGTCGATAAACTTTACCAACCTATAACGCTGCGTAACGTACTACAAGATATTCGCGAAAATCCTAGCTAGACGTTTCCAAGGCGTTGCCCGTCAACTTATAGGTGAACACCAGACCTGTGGCATACAGGGCCGCTTCATAACGACAAACATTCATGTGGCACGTAGTGTGTTACAGGCATGTGATGACGCCTTGGACCAAGTCACCATACTTCAGATTGGTCTCGACAAAGCTTCCGATCGTGTGAAACACAACCCGCTTTTCAGTGTTCTGGAGAGAGTCAATGTTGGTCTAGTATGGCTTACAAGGCCTGTACGATGAGCCTTATCGTTAACAAGAAGTTAACTTAAGTAGTAAGGGTTCCTTCTTCCGGTCAGGCAGGGATGACTTTTGTCGCCTTTATTTTTCAAAGTATACTTGGAGCTTTTCTGTTTAAGCGTGCTCTCCAGCGACCAGTATGGGGGATTTAGTTTGGTGGGGCTCAAATGAAAGTTGTCAGTTACGCAGACGACGTCGTGGTTTTTTGTCGGGATAAGCAGGGCGTCAGCACCGCAGTTAGTTTGGTTAATTATGTTTGTGAGGGCCACAGGCGCGGTCGTCAACTCGTCAACTGGTCTAATTAGACCAGTTGACGAGTTGAAAAACCACGGCACTTAAGGGCCGTGGTTTTTGGCATGGGGCGTAGACCACAGCGCCTTCAGAATAATGAAGGTATTATCTGGGATTGCGAGCCGTGCCAATACCTCGGCGTTACACTCAATTGTTATCGCGAAAACAAACGCTACTTGTCGGGTGTCGCCACCGACCTCGACAGGCGCGCTTCTCACCGTTTCCACCAGTGCGACTGTCTCTTATGTTTTTCTTATTGCCATATTACGGTATGTATTGCAAGTCATTCATTGTGCACGTATGACTGTGCTAAAGTTTCATCGCGTGTTCGCATTTTTTATCTCGGAATCGTCTTGGCAGCCTATGATGCGTGATGATCTGTTTCATCATGTGAGTAACGGGGGACTAGGGTTATCATATTTGTTTGTGCGACATTTGGTGTCACAGTTATTTTTTCTACGCGATGACAAGCACCCTTTATGCGCGCGTTCATCCAAACAAAAGTTTCACCTCATTTGCCATCGCTGCTTGTGTCATCCTATGGCAGTGAGCCATCGCGATTTTTCGGGTTCCGGAAAAAGGTTGTTGACGGTCTGCATATTTTTACTTCGCGCTTCTCGATGGACTAACTGTCGGTGGTATGCAAGAAAATGCTTAAACGTGACTTGTTGTTAAGCATATTACCGGTGCCTTTGTACAGAAGTGTTGCTTGCAGCGAGGGCCGTGATGTACTCAATCGTGTGGAATGTACGTGCATTCCCACTTTAGTAAAGAAATTTTTTCTTTAAATAGTACTGCAATATTTTACCTACGAAAGCTTGGCTTAAGGAAAAGGGTGTAGATGTGCCATAGCCAGTGGAGTGTCGGTTCTGTAAACAGCCTGAGACCATCGAGCACGTTTTCATCTTCTGCTGGGACGCAATTTTTTGTTTTGTTTTTTGGGGGGACGGGGGGTGGGCGTCCCTTAAGATATTTTGAAGGAGTTTTGCATTAGCCCATGTGTAATACGTTGCTCGAAAGTGGCAAATAATGATTGTGTGCCATATGACTTTTTTTTTTTTTTGGGGGGGGGGGGGGGGGTGGGGGGGGTTGTTTAACATTGGCTGTCCCGTATGGCAGTTCGGCATGCGGACCCCGTGCCAAACAAGTACGTTTCTATTTATTTTCACTCGTAAAACAGGTCGAAAATATTTTTTTCCATTCGCGAGCCTAAGCCAGAGGGGCTGAGCTTCTGTAAAGCACCGTTCGAGATGCAGGCTTTTTAATATGCACTGTGAATGGCTTGTGGTGCACTTTTCACTGGTATCGACGTGAATTGTTGCTTGTTATTGTAATAAAAACAAAACAACAAGCGTACCTTGCGTAACCTAGTCAGTAACGTGTCTGGTTTGCAACGGAAGGGTCGAAGGATCGATTGCCTTCTAAAATTCCTCAAGTCTTTCTCTATGGCCAATGAATTACTTTATGAATGAAATCATTTGAGACATTCGGCGACCTTCAATTCGCATTTCATCTAATCTTTTATCATTTTCATTTCATGCGTGACGTAACGTTTCACGTGAACGTTGTGGGTTGTCAGAAATACTCGCGCGAAATCCTGTGGCTGTGGCGTCATCGCCCTATAGACCAATCCTGAATTTTCGCGTCACGCCACCGACGCCGGCCTTTCTGTGACAAGAGCTTGTTAAAGCTGTCGCGTTAATAATGGCATTTTATTGTCTACCATCAACTTCGTGCAGTCCCGTTGTTTCGGTTGCGTGTCTCAATGAAGCCAGCCGGTGAAGCCGTGGCTTCACCGGCTTCTTGCATGACAGTTTTTACTTTTGATCGAATGGAAATATCTGAAGGTCAAATTGTAATTTCTGTACAACCCCATGCAGGTTCGGCGAACGAAACGATAAAAAGATCAGAGGGGAAGAACAAATCGACAGAGTTGAAAACTGTTATTATTTCGATTTCCTAGGGGCCACACAGCACGACTAGCCCATTTCATCAGCGCTAGTTTACACTGCTAATGTTGAGCGCCAACTTGAAGAGCATCTCTTTATGTGGTATTTCTTTTACCTAGCGTTCCGGAACCCCCTACGCACAATACCAGCATACCTACCCGTGCGCGAGGTTTTCGGATAGCACAATAGTCGAAACTCAGTCGAACTTTTGTGGAACTTCTCGGGAAAAGTTCGAAAAAGTCGCCCCGCTTGAACTCGAACCTCGGCTTGTTCGCGACACTCCTAGTTGTGATAGCAGACGACCCCGCCAAAGAACCCGAATTCGACGATGTTCCCTTGACGCAGCGTACACCTTCGGTCGGCAGCCCTTTTTGCTACGCGTCTATCGTCTGCGAAGTGGCCGCGTAGATTGCCGGGACAAGTTTCTCTTTATTTTCCTTTTGAACGAGGTAAGTTTGTTCCTTGATATTTTCAATGTAAACTTCCACCTCTTGCTAGAACCTCTGTAGTAAATCATAGTGAGAAAAGTTGAGAACTAGACTTTTGCGGACCGTCTGAAGTGCCTTAAAAGCGTTAGTGTTAATGATGTAATTTGCAACACGTAGAAACAATTGTAAAAAAAAAAGAAGCTAAATCACGCGAAGGAAAAACAAATCTGGCAAATAGCTAATTAAATCTAATTCACGCAGAAATTTCAGCTTGCCCAAATTTAGTAATAACCAAAAGGGGTAAAATGCCGCATAGGGTGCCTCGGGCATGCTTACACGAAACATATTGCGCCATTACGGCGCAATATGTTTCATATGCGATACAAAAAGTAGTAGTTCTCTCCAACGTTTTTTTTTTTTAGCAGCCTAACGTACCCGGTGTTTCCCGCGTGGCTTTTATGAGGTCTCTGTGTGAACTCCGCGGGGCCAACTAATATTGCCCCACCCCGCTCATACGCCGGTCTGTGAAGAATCGGAAGCTCTAGTAAAAATACCCGGCTTTAGCTTGGATAGTCCAACACAGCACCCACCTTGAGATAAAAGTCTTTGTTCACTTCGAGGGCCTTAGGCGCAGACTTATGATCAGCGAAAAGATAGTTGCACCCGCTGTCTTTGATCATATAAAGCAGCTCTCCTAAAATAGAACAAGTGTAATTTTTAAGTATTCGGAATCAGGTCGTTTTCACCATCAGTGAACAAGCAGCAGTACACACCTGGGAGATAAACTGTCGGTGTCATGACAACCGTTCCTCCCAAAAATACAACTGCCAAAGCAGCGGCCATATTTTCCACGCTGTCGTGAATGAGCACACACACACGGCACCCTGGTGTTAGTCCGCACTGCTGAAATCCCACTGCGTATTTGTTTATCCTGGCCAGCAGCTCTCCGGCCGTTAGCCGCTCAGTTCGATCGATCTAGAAAATAAAGGTCGAAACGCCTGGTCTTACGTAGATACAATACTAAAGTGTTAATAGAGAGTTCTAATAGATAGTTTCGATAACTCTGATTACACTAGCCATTACTCCGGTGACGCCTTCGCGCATGCATCGTGTCGTTATCGGGTATCGTTATCGGACGGATAGGAATGAGCTACTAAACCTCGCTAGTAAGAAACTAGGCGAGGCCACACACCATCGACGAATTCAGTCGGAAGGCTAAAAAGAGAATCGCCCTGAAACGTTTCTTGTTAACTTCGGCATATCTGTTACCGTATAAATTGTACATCCAGGTCATATTATTTGTGCTGGGTTATTTTTGTGAAATAAGCGTAATTGAGCCCACCGCCCTCAACATTTCTTACTGAGATACTCTCTGAAAAGTCGTAAGAGTCTGCATAAGAAGTATAACTTATTTCACTGAATTATAGAGGAAATTTTCATTTATACTTTTTGGAGACAAAATGAAATTACCACAAATTTAAATAAACCATGTTGGAGTTATATTGACTAATGAAACATGTTGATTAAGAGTAAGCGCATGAATGTACTTCTAAAACTTTACCTTGACTCAGGTACAATTTGCTTTAACTATGCCTTCCATTTATAATATTAAATGCTCTCTGTCTCAAATGTACAGAACAATCAAATAAAGCACGCGGCTTGCCTGGTTAACTTAGACAAGTATAACGAAAAATCTTACAACGAGAACCACCACTTTAGGGGTCGCTTTTTTGCTTACTGATGCATAGTTTATCTCAATACGCTCAACCTTTCACACTATATCAATAATTTTAGAGGAAACGTCAGTAAAATCTCAAATACCTTATACATTAGGGTGTACATCTAACCTTGAAAGTAGCTTGACGCTCCTAGGGGTTTGAATGACGGTATAAAATGTTTGAGTTATCTGTCTGGGCTACAAGACTGGGTTAACAAAACAAAAGAAACAGTTTTTTATTAGAATATTATATTCAACCTGCAATGTTAGATAGAAAACAGCCTTCAGTACTTTTCGAGCGCAGTCGGAATTAGGTTGTTGTCAATCGTTAGAACCATGTTAAGGTTCCAAGACTTTGCGTAACAGCAAATATCAATTTCTGATTGAATCTGCTCAATTCAACCATTATATGACATTTTATAGATTTTACCAACACACCCGTTTCTTTTTATTAACTGTGTACCATAATATAGGCCACGTGTTGTTTATGGACAGGACATCATCATCATCATAATTGATTTTCTTTGAGGGCCCGTGCGGCGTTATAAAAGAAGCTCGCAATAGAACAAAAAGTCAGTAAACACCAATATAACACTCTAAGCTAGTTAGCTAGGTTAGATGAAAAGAGGGAAATAGATTAAAAGATTAAAAAAATTGTGTGGCCTAATTTACAGAATCGAGGCTGTGAAGTGAGCTGAAATCTCCGATAGCTAAAGATAGTGTGAAAGCTGTAGCTAGAAACAGTTGATCTAAAAGGGCGTAATTTATATGAGTGATCTGAACGAGGAACGATACGATGGGGTGTTGATAGTAGTAATTTTCTGAGAGGGGGCATTGTGATAAAAGAAAAAAATTGGATGAAGGAGAGAAAGGCGTGGCACTCTGCGGCGAATGGAGAGTGAATGCAGGTTGGCTATTTGGCGTACTTCTGATATGGTGGTATATATTGAGTAACTATTATAAATGAAGTGAAGGGCTCTGTTTTTAACGGATTCTAGATGATTTTGTGAGGTATGTCTGCCATGGAGACTATGTAGATCAGGCATAATCTAACTTGGATCTCATAAGAGTAGTATACGCTAGTCGTTTTATGGAGGGTGCAGCAAGTTTGAGGTTTCGGCGCAGATATCCGAAAGTAAGGTTAGTACCAGCAATGACAGAGGCAATGTGGGTACTCCATGATAAGTCAGAGGTGAGATGACCGCAATCTAGGCGGATTACGAAGCTATAAACCTTTTGGGCCCGAAAAAAAGAAACTGCGCTGTGCTGAGCATGGTGAAACGCCATGCTGTGGGCCGAAGCACAAACTTTTTTAGCAGTAAACATTTTCAGTCTCGTTATTAGCCGAGCTCCCCCCTAGATTGCATCGATTGAAGCTCTCAAGTGCTTTACTGGAAAGTAGACGTTGCAGAGCTTCTAGTGTGATATAGGGTCCATCATCATCATCATCTACTAAACCGATTTACAACTCTATCAATGCTAGTAAGCGACAACTATGTCTGAGCCCCTGCTGCCCTTGCACTCGTCGGCGCTCTAGTATACCTTATCGAGTCTTTTTACAGGGAAACGCTGTTTTGTGATTAAATACCAGATAAGCTCAATCAGCGTGCCATGGTCACCAAGTGCTTATCTAGAGTCAGATTTTATTCTAATATTATAAAATATGCCATCGTAATGATAGTGCCATGAATGCAAAGGTGCACGCAAGCTGGACAAGAATAACGATGATAATCCCTGGAGAAGAGAAATAGGGGGACGAGATGAAACACAAATCTCCGAACATAACTAGACAACCACCTGCACCTGGTATTATTATCGTTATTATTGTCCAGCTCGCTTGCGCCTTTGGATGAATTGCAGTACCATCGTGATCTTAAAATGCAGGTCGTTCATTCCTGTTGGCGTTAGACTGGTGGCGGCTCTTAAAACCCGTTTTTTTTTTTTCTACTGACGTCAAACTCCCGGTTAGCTCAGTTGGTAGAACACTACATTGGAAATGGAGAGGTACCTGGTTCGACACCCGGACCAGGCGGATTTTCTTAATCGCGCACCAGTCACCTAGCTGTGTTTGGAGATTCGTGTTCGTCCTTTGTTCGTTTCTCCAGAGATTATTATCGTTGTGCCATCATGTCTCGAGCTGACAAATGTATATGCCTGTTTTGTACCTCAACGTGAGTGAGTCAAGAAAATAATATTGAAAGTCGTATATTCTCAGTGTCACCAAACAGAGTAGAATACAGCATATTAAAAGAAGCCAGGTTTTTGACCCAAACCAGTAATGGTATAAACGCAACTTGGTATGCTACGCAGAAAAAGAACTATCTTTTTATAGCAAGCGATTAACGCCTTTATTGAAAAAAAAGCTCAAGCTGGTAGCAGCGTTCCAGCTTCAAGCTTGGTTATCGGCCCAGCATGCCCAGTTTGGCATGCTGGTTATGCTGGTTGATATGGTCATGCTGGTTAAGCTGGTGAACTTTATTTTTTAATTTAAACTGGAGTTTAACCAGTTTAAATAAATGCACACGATAAACAAGCCACTCTCCAGAAAAGCCAACTCGGGATCCAATTTCTTATTTTCGTACTCGCGGCCTGGCTCACAGGAGCTCAGATGCTACACATGCTCGGCTCTGGCACCGTACTAACCGACGCACAGACAGTGGTTCTCGGTGCAGAACAAACAATGTTATTAAGTCTAGATTGCTTCTCTCAACACCTAAATGTACTAGACGCACGCCAAAAATAGGCAATAACAATAGAAAATACTACACGGATGAGAGAAGCGAACCTGGGTCCAGCCAGTGATGGGGGTGATGCGGCCCCTTCCGTAGTCGGCTGAGGCGAGGAAATCCGTGTGGGTTGGATGGCATTGGCGATACTCCTCGGTACCACTAAAGTTCCTAGATAGGAGCTTCCTAGAAGTAGCAACATTCTTTGAAGCACCGACTGCGTAACGGTGCAGGTTTTAGGAAGAAAATAGCGGCGCACAGCAGAAGTTTCAACTGAATGCTGCCATTTTCTTCCAGCGGAATGTGCTTTCCCATTTGCGTTGGTTGTCGCTACTTGCAAAAGAAATATGAAGGGGCTTTAGGTACCATTGTCATCCACGAGCACATACACGTTTAAAGACACGAAGCGACACCTCAGTCGGGACGTCTGACTTCACGCGCACAACGAACTCCCGCTCGCTGTCTCCTTAAAACTCGCTTTGCTCGTGCCGCCGTCCAAGTAGTCTCCGTAGAGCGCGCACACGGCCGTCCCTTCAAAAATCGGCCCAAGCTAGCCAAACGTGTCCAAAACGATTATTCCTACCACACTCTCTTTCTTTTCTTGCACACAAAGGCAGTTCGCAGCGCGCCTGAAGCGCCGGGTCGCCTACCAAAAACGAGAGGACAAAGCATAGGAAGTGGTCTCGTCCCAGCCCAAGCCGACGTTGGCGCGTGCGCTCCCAGAAATGTCAGTTTGACCAGCTCAAGCCGACCTTGGTGTGCGCGCTCCCTGCATGACTAGCTTGACCAGCAGGATTATGTGTTCGACCAGCTCGACTCCAGCTTCACCAGCTTGTCCTCCCAGCTTGACCTCATTTCCTCCATGGAAAACCAGTTTGACTAGTAAGGACCAGACTGGCTCCCAGCTACACGAGGTTGAATCTAAAACCAGATTTTAGTTCGACCATGCTGGTTTTTACATAAACCAGATTGACCAGGTCATATTCTAATTTGCCCAGCTTAAACCAGCTTGGTAGCCAGTTAAGTGAGTTCAATTACCACATAGACCGGTTTGACCACCTTAATTGCCAAGTCGACCAGTTACATATTCTTACTGTTTTTTTTTCAATAGGTGTTTTTTAATAAAAATGTACCATCATGTTAGAACATATATATTTTATTAAGCTAACATAGTAATTTTGTGCACCTCAATTATGAATTGCACATGAATCTTTATTTACAAAGTCAACTAGACCGGATTTAGTAAAACATTTTTATTATCGATATAATGCCGTCCATAACTTCAGATTTTATATCGAATTAGACAATTAAAATAATTTAGTGCTTATCCACTTGCTCGAGTTTTAGTAGCTGATAAGCTGACCTTCATCTTTTCGCATCTTGAATTTATTTAGATCTAC